CTAAAATTTGAAACTTACTTTGAATGCCTGAAGATTGACACGTCAGTAAATAACGCTGTATTAAATATAGTACCAGTGAGCTCCTCTCATCTCTAGAAATAATTCCCCCTGTCTGTCAGTTATTCATTTAACTCATATCTTGCTTTCAAAATATAACCTTATGTGGAAAATTCTCCCTCTGCTGCTTTTACAGGTAAATAACACATAATTAAGAAAAAGTAATCCCTGCTTTTTTATTGTCATAGGACAGTGCTGGCGAACCTTTTTGAGCCCGAGTGCCCAAACCGCAATACATGCCAACTTCCCTCAAAGTGCCAACACGACAATTAGACCTGAATACTGAAGTTTAAGTTTAGAAAAAACAACTCGTACAGTTGTCCGAGCTAATTAACATCTTTTGTTTTAAAAGAACACAACAACAGATAGTTCAATTATACAAATTTTAAATAATGATATAAATCGATAAAATTAAGCTTATATTTATTAGTATCTCCAACAAATGCAATACATACACACACAGACTGCTGAATACATACACACAGTCTGCTGAATACACACACACACAGTCTGCTGAATACATACACACATACAGTCTGCTGAATACACAGACTGCTGAATACATACACACACAGTCTGCTGAATACACACACACAGACTGCTGAGTACACACACACAGACTGCTGAATACATACAAACACACACACAGTCCGCTGAATACATACACACACAGTCTGCTGAATACATACACACACAGACTGCTAAATACACACACACACAGTCTGCTGAATACACACACACACAGTCTGCTGAATACATACACACATACAGTCTGCTGAATACACAGACTGCTGAATACATACACACACAGTCTGCTGAATACACACACACAGACTGCTGAGTACACACACACAGACTGCTGAATACATACAAACACACACACAGTCCGCTGAATACATACACACACAGTCTGCTGAATACATACACACACAGACTGCTAAATACACACACACACAGTCTGCTGAATACACACACACAGTCTGCTAAATACATACACACACAGTCTGCTGAATACACACACACACAGTCTGCTGAATACATACACACACACACTGCTGAATACATACACAGTCTGCTGAATACACAGACTGCTGAATACATACACACACAGTCTGCTGAATACACACACACAGACTGCTGAGTATACACACACAGTCTGCTGAATACATACACACACAGTCCGCTGAATACATACACACACAGTCTGCTGAATACACACACACACAGTCTGCTGAATACATACACACACACAGTCTGCTGAATACATACACACACAGTCTGCTAAATACATACACACACAGTCTGCTGAATACACACACACACAGTCTGCTGAATACATACACACACACACTGCTGAATACATACACAGTCTGCTGAATACACAGACTGCTGAATACATACACACACAGTCTGCTGAATACACACACACAGACTGCTGAGTATACACACACAGACTGCTGAATACATACACACACACAGTCTGCTGAATACATACACACACAGTCCGCTGAATGCATACACACACAGACTGCTGAGTACACACACACAGACTGCTGAGTACACACACACAGACTGCTGAATACATACACACGGTCTGCTGAATACATACACACACAGACTGCTGAACACACACACACATACTGCATTGAGGGGTGCAGTGTACGTGCTTGTGTGAGGGGTGCAGTGTGTGTCTGTATGAGGGGTGCTGTGTGTGTCTGAGTGAGGGGTGCAGTCTGTGTCTGTGTGAGGAATGCAGTGTGTGTCTGTGTGTGTGTGGGGAGGTAAGGGTGCTGTGCGGGGAGATAGGGGTGCCGTGTGTGTGTTGGGGTAGGGGTGCCGTGTGTGTGTTTGGGGGTAGGGGTGCCGTGTGTGTGTTGGGGGGTAGGGGTGCCGTGTGTTGGGTGGTAGGGGAGCCGTGTGTGTTGGGGGAGTGAGGTGCTGTGTGTGTTGGGGTAGGGGTGCTGTGTGTGTGGGGATATGGGTGCCGTGTGTGTGTTGGGGGGGGTGCCATGTGTTGGGTGAGGGGTGACGGTGTGTGGGGTAGGGGTGCTGTGTGGGGAAGGTGTGCTGGGTGGGGAGGTAGGGGTACTGTGTGTGGGGGGTAGAATTACTGTGTGTGTTGGGGGTAGTGTGTGGGGTGTAGGGTACTTTGTGTGTGGGGTACTGTGTGTGGGGTGTGTGTGGGTGTGTATGGGGGTAGGGTACTGTGTGTGGGTGGGGTGTGTGGGGGATAGGGATGCTGTGTGTGTGTGGAGGGGGGGGTGAGTGCTGTGTTGGGGTGGGTAGGGGTACTGTGTGTGTGGGGGGGTAGGAGTACTGTGTGTGGGGTGGGTAGGGGTACTGTGTGTGTGTGTGTGTGTGTGTGTGTGTGTGTGGGATAGGGGTGCTGTGTGTGTGGAGGGGGTAGGAGTGCTGTGTTGGGGGAGGTGGTGATAAAAAAAAGTGTATTAAGTCTGTATCCCCCCTTCCTCCCTCCTTCTTACCTTTGATGAAGGAGGGGGGAACACAGCCCTCCCTGGTGGTCCGGTGGTGGTAAGGATTGTAGGGAGCAACTCTCCTGTCCATGGTAACGCGCGGCAACGCTCCACACAGATTGCTCGCGGGAGGACAAGAGAGCTGCTTCCTAGAGCCCTCCCCCTGTCCTCCCGACACAGAAGCAGAGTACACGCCTGCCGTTTTGGGCAGGCAGGCAGGTAGGCAGGCGCCTACTCTGCATTGATGGCAAACCTATGGCCGCGTGCCCACAGAGAGGGCCCGGCGTGCCACCTGTGGCACGTGTGCCATAGGTTCGCCATCATTGTCATATGAAAACCAACTCATGAAAGATATCGATTTAATTTACATTATTTCCAGGGTTCAATGTGACATTTCTGTTTTAGTGTGCTGTAGAAGTATTTTGCCATCAGTAGTGGATATGTTGCACTGAGTTCCTTGGTGACACTGTATAACTCTTTCCTGTGTTCCATGGGTACCTCCAATCTAGCCCTCTTTCTGGATATCATTGAAGCTGAGTTTCCTACGTCCACATTATTGATATATTTCATTGGTTGTCAGGTTACATTTTCAGCCAATGAATTCTGTCCACATATAAACAAAACTTATATATCTCATGTGAAAGGGGAACGTCCACTTTAGTGATAATTCTAAAGCGTGGCCAGAGGGCAGGTACCCGGAAGAACCATAATAATTGCAAACCATTTGAAAATATTTTGACTGTTAAAGGGATTCTATAGTGTAAGGAATACAAAGTTGTATTCCTTATACTACAGTTCCCTCATGCAGATCCGACGATGCAAGGGTTAAAAAAAATAATCTTGGAACAGTTACCCACTCGGCGCTGGGTCGGTGCTCCGCCTCCTCCAATGTCATCCAATGGGGGGCTAATGCGCATGCTCCGCAGGTTTTTGCGAGCACATTGGGACTTCCTCATAGGAAAGCATTGCTTCAATGCTTTCCTATAGGGATTTAACTGACGCTGGATATCCTTATGCAGGGTGTGAGGATGTCCAGCTACAGGTGACCAAAAGTCGCCTAGCCAACAGGAAATGACTCTTGTAACTTTCTGATTGACAACCACTACGTCTAAGTCCTGCAATGTAATAATTGAAGTTTCTCAAAAACATCAATGATTTGCATTGCAGGATTGAGGGGGACAGGGACATTGCACTCAAACCACTTCAATGAGCTGGAGTGGTCTGGGTACCTATAGTGACCAAAAGTCGCCCAGCCAACAGGAAATGACTCTTGTAACTTTCTGATTGACAACCACTACGTCTTAGTCCTGCAATGTATTCATTGCAGTTTCTCAAAAACATCAGTGATTTAAATTGCAGGATTGAGGGGGACAGGGACATTGCACTCAAACCACTTCAATGAGCTGGAGTGGTCTGGGTACCTATAGTGTCCCTTTAATATTAGGACAGCGCCAGGGGACTCTTGGCACCATAACCACTACAGAGTGCTGTAGTGGTTGTGCTGCTTAGATTGCCTCTTTAAATGATCTCTCAATAGCCACATGATTTATTTAATCTATTAAATTCACAATTAGAGTGAAACATATATTAATTCAAAGCAGTTGCTTATTAGGTAAATATTCCCTACCCTATGCATTATATGGTTTTACATATCAGGACTTAATAACAATCATCTGTTCTTTATCAGGTCTTAAAATTAGGTAAATACAACCTATGATGAACATCAACACATGACATATTACACTGTGTCATGATTTATTTAACAATAATAAAGCCAAAATGGAGAAGCCATGTGTGAAAATCTAAGTATACCCGTACTGCTTCCATAGGAATTAAGAGGCAAAGTAGCAGACAGGTGCTACTCATCAAATGCCCTTAATTAATTAATTAATCATCAGCAAGTGTGACCAGCTCTATAAAAGCTAAGGTTTTTAGCAGTTTGCTGGTCTGGAGCCAGGGCAGGATTAACATAGGGGCTGATGGAGCTGCAGCTCCAGGCCAATGCCCACGGAATAGGCCCATTGATTTGAAAAATAAAAAAATAAAAATAAATCTCTTTTTTTTTTTTACCCACTGCCGGTAGGGTTGCCACACCTGACCAGTACCGACCGCCAGTATTTGAGGCTACCTTGCCATGCCGGTATTGCAGTAATACAGGCAATACAAATGCAGGTATTTTTCTCAGTACAAATGGAGATTACTCTGCAATACCAGCACCGGCCAGTAGGGATTGCAGTGTGTGGAGAGAGGCAGGGATAGGAAGTTACAGCATATGCCTACTTCTCTCTACTCACTGATCTGCAGGGCAGCATCTACACAGTACAGACAGCAGCTCACAGCCTGCAGAGACAGCCCACAGTTTAGGTAAGTGAGTGATGGGGGAAAGGCTGCAGAGAGACATGGGGACACAGAGACATTAGGGGACACTAAGAGACACTAGGGGACACTAAAAGACATGGGGACACTGGGAGACATAGGGACACTGAGACTTGGGGACACTGGGAGACACTAGGAGACATCGGGACACAGTGTTCCCATGTATCCCAGTCAGTGTCCCCATGTCTCCCAGTGTCCCCATGTCTCTCAGTGTCCCCCTGTCTCTCAGTGTCTGTGCCCCCATGTCTCGCAGTGTCCCCAAATGTCTTAGTGTTCCCATGTCTCCCAGTGTCTCTGTGTCCCCATGTCTTCCAGTGCCCCCTAGTCTCCCAGTGTCAGTGTCCCCATGTCTTTCAGTGTCCCTAGTGTCAGTGTTCCTATGTCTGTATCCACAATTGCCCCCATATCTCCCAGTGTCCCCAAGTGTCTCAGTGTCCTATAGTATCCTAGTGACATGGGGACAATCAAAGACATGGGAACACAGACACTAGGGGACACTGGGAGACATGGGGACACTGTGAGACACACAAGGACACTGGGAGACATGGGGACACTGTGAGAGACACAAGGACCCTGTGAGACATGGGGACACTGGGAGACATGGGGACACAGACACTAGGGGACACTGGGAGACATGGGGACACTGTGAGACACAGAAGGACACTGGGAGACATGGGGACACTGGGAGACACACAAGGACCCTGTGAGACATGGGTCCACTGGGAGACATGGGGACACTGAGACACTAGGGACACCGTGTCCCCATGTCTCCCAGTGTCCCCTAGTCTCTCAGTGTCCCCTAGTCTCACAAGTGTCCCCATGTCTCCCAGTGTCTGTGTCCCCATGTCTGGGAGACACACAAGGACCCTGTGAGACATGGGTCCACTGGGAGACATGGGGACACTGAGACACTAGGGACACCGTGTCCCCATGTCTCCCAGTGTCCCCTAGTCTCTCAGTGTCCCCTAGTCTCACAAGTGTCCCCATGTCTCCCAGTGTCTGTGTCCCCATGTCTCTGTGTCCCTAGTGTCTCTGTGTCTCCATGTCTCCCAGTGTCCCCAAGTCTCCCAGCCAGTGCCCCTAGTGTCTATGACCTCATGTCTCTCAGTGACCCCATGTCTCTGTGTCCCCATGTCTCCCAGTGTCCCCCAGTCTCCAAGTGTTTGTGTCCCCATGTCTCCCAGTGTCCCCATGTCTCCCAATGTCCCCAAATGTCTGTGTCTCCATGTCTCCTAGTGACCCTTAGTCTTCCATTGTCTGTGTCCCCATGTCTCCCAGTGTCCCCAAATGTCTGTGTCCCCTAGTCTCCCAGTGTCTGTGTCCTCATGTCTCAGTGTCTCCAAATGTCTCCCTCAAACTAACTTGCCTGCTGCTCTAGCCACATATAAAAAAAACTTAAAATATAAAAACTTTTAGTTTTTAAAAACTAAAATAATTTCAAAACATAACAAATATCCTACTGCACTGTCCACCATCTGCAGAGATCCAGGGCTAAAGAGTCCCACATCTGTGGGTCTAACCCCCAAAGCTCCCCAATTGCAATCCCTAAGCTCGCATGTGTACCTTTGAAAAGTTTTTGTGGCCCACCCATTCCAGATGGCAAAATTGGAGTTTCAACATATTTATTTCCTGGGTCTATTTAAAAAAAAAAAACATACACACATGTTGTGGCAGAACCAGTTGGATTATTTGCCCTTCTTTTGGATTGTGGACCGAACGGATTATAAGTGTGGTGTTTGTATACCGAACAAACTCTCGAACAATTGGACCACCCACAGGAGTCATGTGCTGCCAATGGACCCATTTGACCTCCTTAACACCTCGAAACTACAACGTTCTAAGCAGTTGGCTGGTTGGCCATCATTCGTATGGCTGAACACATGGCAGCAGCCATCTTTAGTTGCGAACACGTACAGCGGTGTTTGGTCGTTGAGTGCATGGTGCTATAATCGGGCACTCTACAGCGCGAACACTGCTGAGATTTCCACCTCCACATATATTCGGTTCCGTTCGTCTGAGAAGAGCGGCGTTCGATGGGAGCAAACTCCAGAACGAGGGGCACCTAACTAGCTTACGTACGAAATTTTATATTTGTTATTTTAGTTGGTATAGTACTCCGGAAAGAGATGGACCGCTCAGCCTGAATTCATGGAACTCTTTTAGGCAGGTGCCTCGTGTGCTGTAGTAAAACCCCACAAATTGCTCTCAGCAACATCTCGTAAGTGTAGCCAAACAATCCCTGTATACTTTTGCCTTGCGTTTGTGATGCTAAAGTGCCATGTTAGACTATATCTCTATTTCAGGACAGGAATAAGTAGGGCATGCTACTTATATTTAGCCTGGATGGCACAAACTCCGCCTAACAATATGTGAGATATCTTCTTGTACTGTATGTTGGATATGAAACATAGAGTAGAGTAAAGGAAAAAAATATTGTGTAGCATGTGAGGCAGGTTTTGAATGACAATGCAAGTATATAGATTATGCACTCACATGTAAGAGCCCTGAATGGCTCCAATAAATCAGCATACAGTGGTACAATCCCCAATTTTATTGAGCAATCTTTAGGTATTGCTCAATCCTCAGTGGTTTAGTGGATAAAATCCCCACTATTGATGTAACTAGAATTATTTTTACATATGAGAAGGCATCTGGGGGTAAGGATAAAAAGTTAACTTTACTTTTATTTATTTAAAAACAATTTTAAAAAAGTGTATCATAAAAACATTATCGTGTTTCACCTCATAAAAAAAGCTTTTTCAAAGTGTTACTGAAGGCTTTTTCAAAGTGAGATACTGTATGCAAGAGTTGTCCATCTATTGCATTCAAACAATTATGGGGTTTATAGTCTAACAGGAACTGGGGGACCAGAGTTTGACAGCCCTGTCATATGCAATGGTTCTAGGAATTTCACATCAATGTGAACCTGATCAATTGTTTTCTTTGGAGCAGGAAGGGACATGTACAAAGCACTGTGCACATATCTAACGATCATTACAGGATTCAATATGCGGCTCATATCGTTCCAGCCCTTCCTGTTATTTACACAACCATTTCCCCATCCACCTAAACTTGGATATCAAATACGGAATGTGAGCTTCTTTGGTTTATTGCTTCAGACAGATTCACCTTAAACTTCTGTAATAAAATTTTATGACATTTCAAATTTGTAGTGCGTTGTAATGTTTTTCATATCACAGCCACGATCAGTTTCTGAAATAAACGTTTTCTGTAGTTTATCAAATAAATTAAAACCTTTTAACAATATGATTGTTTAGTGGTTGGTGAGATAGCTAAGTTGGTTAAAGCACCAACTGTTGGACATACTTAGTCTGCATGGCCCCAGGTTCCTGAAAATGTTAATCAGCCATTTGTCATTCTGAGGTTATTGAAGGGCCACTCCACACTTATAAAGCACTTCAGCTTGCGGAACTGTTTTATGGGTCAGGACTATCCCATTTTAAAGACATTTTATGAAAGTCCAATTTCTATGAGGCAGGTGTGTGGGCATGCACAGAGGGAGTGCTTCACAGGCTTGTCATTGATAAATCTCTTGTAGGCTATTTCCCCGTGAAGACACTGTTAGCGTAAAAAGGGGGTGGGCTTGCAAAGGCTGCAGTTCATAAGAAACTTTTTTAAGTATACCTCCAATAAATACATGCATTAAAAAATATTTACTAAATAGTGATTTTCTTTTTTTTTAACCATTTGGGCATTGGAGTGTTCCTTTAAAAAGAACAATTGTTAGTCTTCCAGAGAATGAAAAAACAACTGTATACAATGCATTATAACAGGATTGCAAGGTAAACTAGGATTTAAATGCGGCTTTATTCTAGAGCCGCTAAAAGCAAATGTTTCTTTATAAAAATGTTTGTTCATAACAAGTGATCCATCCACTAGCATAGTGCAAGTTTTTCAGATCAGAGGAAAGGACAAAGGTGAGTAAATTGACATATTACCCATTTATAGACAGCTCACAGATTTTAGTGTCTAATTGATAAGACTTGGCATTTTTCAGCTTGAAATTGTGCATTATGTTTTGCCCAATTTTAATACATTCCTATTCTTCGGAGCTTATTATGAGTCGTGGCAAGAATTGCTTTGCAAAGTCTGGAGACGGCTCGCCTCAATAAAACATTTTAGAATAATACAAATTTAAAGAGGGTACATTACCAGGGCCACCATATGGGGGTGACAACTGTGACAGTGCCCAGGCCACACATTTTCAATGTGGAGTGTACATATTACAGTGGTGCAACCACACTGGGTACGCTAGGGTGCCCCATTTACTCAGGATATAGAGATAGGTACTGATGAACAGGGGCCTGGTCGGGCGCCGGGGCACTTTAATAGTCCTGTAATATTGGCCGACAGTGAGGAAGTGACTGAAAGAGCGCCACGTGGGTGGGAGGAGGAGGGTGGGAGCAGCACAGGCAGCAGCCTGGGGAGAAAGACTGGCAGAGTGAGCTGCTGTTGCAGGGCCCACACACATCAGCCTAAGCCAGCAGCAATAAAAAATAAATAAGTGAATGGCGCTTACACAATACAAAGACACAAAAGTGGTGGTGGAAAAAGTGTTCCCCAACACCTCAAATACAAAGTATACAGTAGAAAATATGTGGACACTGAGTGTACAAATGCCACAAAAATCCACACACCACTCTCTTAATCCCAAAACAGTGAATGTATACAATACTTGTAAATACAGGGATATATACTGGTAGTGTTCCGTGTACTTGGACCCTATAATCACATAAAACAGTACATAGTGTAAACTGTATATGGAAATAACAATAATAAAAGTGTATAATGGATCCACTCACGAATTCTAGAGCCGTGCCAGGCTCTATGTTGAATGCCCAAGGGTGCCTATACAGGCTAAGTGCAGAGTCTTCACAATACTCCTCAAGGCAGAAGAGACAGCAAGGATGGTATAAAAATAAATAAATTTATTGAAAATAAAAATTATAAAAACAACTAAACAAGTTGTATATAAAAGTGCAAATAAGCAATGTAATGTATGCAGACGCGTTTCAACTCGATCAGAGTCTTCCTCAGTGCATAAGAAAGTCCATCCGGCTGATTCTCTTTAAGTGTACCGCTCATCTGGCTGCCGGTCACATGGGCGGAAGTTCGGCTTGCCGGCGTCTGACGTCACTTCCGGTTCTTTCGGCGCTCATTTCGTCGGCTTCCCTCTTCACAAAGAATTTGCCCAATTGAAGC